AGCCGGATGGTGTTGGCACACTCCTAGAATCCCAGCACTCAGGAGGCTGAGGCAGAAAATAGTCCCGAGTTTGAGGCCAGCCTGAACTATATAGTAAAACTCTGTCTTAAAAAAAAAAAAAAAAAAAAGATTTTTTGATACAAAAATTAAGTTAGCGAATTGAATGTGTTTGGGGGATCGTCAAATCCTTAATGACACAAAATCTATAGGGTGTTCTAACATAATTGTGCTGTTTTTCTGCAGGTGTTCAATCGGTTGTTCTACAGTAATAATGCTGGTAAGTATGGAAGGGTCAGTAAAATAGCTGAGGCTTGAACTTTGCACATTTAACATGTGGCTTTTTGGAAGAGCGTAATTTAAAACGTGTGGAGAACGAGGAAGAGAGATTTTACCAGGTTTTGCAGTCGAACAGCCTGCCACAGTTCTTTACAATACCAAAGATTCCAAGGCCAGAGATGAATTACAGCAGTGGCCAGAAGAGTAGAGATGCTGCAAAGCCAGCCAGGAGTTACACAAATGTGGAGTATATCACAGGACAGGAACCCTGAGGTGGGGGTGCTCAAACCTCTTACTAGAGCTCAGAGTAAACTTGCCTTTTCAGGCTGTTCACTATACAGACACCCTTGAGAAAGTGCATACCAGTGAACGCTGATGACGTTGTTGTAAGACGTGAAGACTATGAAGAAGTGTCTCTCAGCCACAATACCCTGCAGCGTTTTGTTTTGTGGCATGGTCTCACTATGTAGTACAGACTGGCCTTGGACTTGCCTGTGTAACTCAGGCTGGCCTCATGCACAGTGGTCCTCCAGCCTCAGCCTCCTGAGTGCTGGGATTACAGGTGTGCACCATGCAGCCTGGCCTGCAGTTTTAATTAATTCCAAAAAGTATGGAATCTTACAAGCATTGATGTCTGTAACTTGTCAATTTGACATGATCAGATACCATTTGACTTTAAATTCCAGGTTGCAACTCTAACCTGGACACCAAAGTCAATCTACAGTAGTTATTTGTTCTTTCCCTCTCCTATTGTTTGAATTTAAGATGATTGTATTTGCACACTGACCTGAAATACTTTGTTATTGTGAGTATGTTTTTAAAAATAAAATCAGCAAAGAAGCATAAACTACAGCTAAACCAATTATTGTACACATAAACACTCATTTCGTAAAACAAGTGGAGTACACTGTAGACACTATATTGTGACTTCCCTATATAACTTGAACTGCCCTCACTTTT